GAGAGGAGAGCAAAGGGGTCCTCTATGGACTCACCAAATTTCTGCAGAAGCAAGTCTCATCCACTTCATCATAGATGGTGATGGGACGCTCTCCTGGCCGGCTGGAAGCTGTAAAGAAACAGAGCAAGGCAGTTTGAATAAGCCCCGTTGCATCCTGTGCTCCCCGGGTGATGCTCACCCCCATGTAATGGGCATAAACAAAACAGAGTTAAATAGAAATGGGTTTTTTTCCACTTCACTTATAATTTACCAATTTTCAGGTCCCTGGCAAGGGAAGAAAACAGCAGATCCCAGCTCCAGCCAGAGATAAAATCACAAGGAACAACACTTTAAAACAAACCATTTGGGGGCAGTCGAACGGTTTGCATTTGACGTGGTCCAAACGCTTTGCTTTTACCTTGAACGTTTCATTTCTATTTAATTGAAACAAGATGAAAATCAAATACAAAGAAATTTCATCTCGGGCCAGATGCAATATTTTGTTTGACCCCAAAATAGCAAGTCGGTTTCAGGGTTCCATGTCATTTTTGCTTAATTAAAAAAAAATTAACTGGATATAAATTTGCTTTGAAAACATGGTGTTGGGGTGAAAAGTCCAAACTTGTTTCTGTTTTTGTAAAACTCTTCGCTTTTCTTTGCACCCAGAATTATTCACCAGACTTGCCCTGCCTTCATGAACGATTTCCATAACCCGGCACTTTTCCATGGATGAGAGTTCTCTGAAGATATTTACCCAGGTTTATCCACCAGGTATGTACTCGTGGTTACTTAATCTCACCATTAAAATGTTCCACCTTATAGTTATGCTCAGTGCATCTCCAGTATCTCAGAGTGCAGGTGGACATCTGTACAGGGACCAAGTGGACCATATCCTGCCACTGCTATGCTTGCCCAGTATAACAAGGCTGTGTGGGTGTAGAAATGCCCCATCCCCAACTCTGTCTCTGGTTATATTTGCTGTATTCATTCCATGGGCAGGACTCAATATAGGGTGGAGTCTAGACTAATCAGGGAACAGACTGGCCAGGAGGATTCAGGGAGCACAGTTTGGCCTTTCAGTTATTCCATATTTGTCTACAAAGGGCAAAATGAGCAGGAGAATCAATGTGGCAGGAATGAATGAAAAGAAATCATCCCAGAGGGCCCAGGACATTGGGGTGGGTGGAAGGTGGGTGTGCAGCCATCTGCAGTCATGCTGCCCCACTGCCGTGGCCTCAAGGAGGCCCTTGTCCCAGAGAAGAGATTCCTCCTGAAGCCCTTACCTTGTTTTTTGCAACATCTACACAGGATGATGACACCAATGGCCAGGAACACCAGGCCACATGCTATAGCGCCGATAATCCAATAAAACAGCGATTGAAAAATATCTGTAGCAGATAGGGTGAAAAACCAAAGCATCACTAGCCTGCAGAGCCTCCAGGGCATTTCCAAAACCCTGTTGACTATCACACTTCCCATCCTATTGACAAAGGGTTTACAAAGGGTTAGCTGCTTCTCAATCAGCTGATTTGTGGTTATGACACCCAATATACCAATCCTGCTCAACCCCTTGTGCACAGAATTGAGGACTCAGGGCCCTAACTGCCATGAATTTAGCTTCAGGTATCCAGGTGTTAGTCATATTGGTCTACAGGCAAAAGGAATCAGAACTGGTGGCAGAGGTGATATCTTGTATTAGACCAACTAGATATTTGCAAACAAAAATGCCTTTATTTGCAAGCTTTTGGGCACAGGCATCCTTCTTCAGGAAAAGGAGAGTGCAAAGATAGTAAAATTTCTCCTAGGTGGAACTGAAAATTCATATTTTACAAGAAAGCTGAAGGTGTGTAGTAAGATCTCATAGTTGGAATAGTTCATTTTGTGCAGGTTAGGCTCAGATAAAAGTAGGAACAGTCTTTTTACCTCAAAGTTAGCTTAAAGTTTCTGGCTTTTTAAACAATCCTGTAGCTCAAAGGGTGCCCCCCCCCCCGCAATCTACTTCAGTTTATCACCTAATTGCATGACTCCAGGAACTGGGGATTTAATAATGACACTTCATATCATAAGACTCGTAATAAAATAATGAGAACTGACAGCACAAACTGTTGACTTAATACCTGCACTTGATGTGGCTTTTTCCTGCTTAGAACTAGGCCTGCTTGGAAATTTTTCATTGAAACCGTTACACTTAGAGGAAAAGTGCCAATGCTGATGAAGTTGTTTTTTAGGAAATGAAATGAAAGTGGAATGGTTCATTTGTGCTGGAACACAGGACAAGAGGAGGTTTCTGGGGCCACCAATCCCACTTCCCTGACAGCCTGGTCTGTCTGGAATGCAACATTTTGACATTACTTTTCATAATGAAATAGCATCTTTCTACATATAAAATATATTTTTTTAAGTTTAAGATGGTTGAAAATCAAATCAGATTAAAAGCATTCTGGAATTTCAGTCCTTTTCATTCTGCAATGAAAAGAAATGCAGAATTCCCCAGGGGAAGAATCTTAAAAAAATGTGGAATTTCTTTTACAATTCATTTTGCAGGAGCGCTACATATCAGAAGGAAATATTTTAAAATCGTCTCTTTCCAGCTTTTCTGTTCATCTTTTATTAATGCTTCATAATAATTTTAGGTGGGTGCTTAACATGAAAAGCGAGTTCTCCAAAATATTCTAGTACATAGTTTTGTTTGGGATTTTAATAGGAAAATGCTTTATGTTAGTGAGGAATTACATTTGTTTCAGAGATGCTTCCTATGTCCTTCATCACAGTGAGCAACATGTTACACCTGGAACAGGTGTACTGACATTAGTAGAAGAAAGGAAGAGAAGTCGGAGAAGAGAAGGGGAGTGGATTTAATAGCAGCCTTCAACTCCCTGCAGCAGGGTCGCAAAGGGGATGGAGCTGGGCTGTTCTCAGTGGTGGCAGATGACAGAGCAAGGAGCAATGGGCTCCAGTTGCAGCAAGGGAGGTTTAGGTTGGATATTAGAAAAAGCTTTCTCACTAGGAGGGTGGTGAAGCACTGGAACAGGTTCCCCAGAGAGATGGTGCAGTCTCCATCCTTGGAGGTGTTTAAGACCCAGCTAAACTAAGCCCTGGCTGGGATGATGTAGTTGGGGCTGGTCCTGCTTTGAGCAGGGGGCTGGACTAGATGTGACCTCCTGAGGTCCCTTCCAGCCCTCATTTTCTGTGATTCTAGGAGACTTTGAATCACACCTAAACGTGCTCTTGCTGCAACCCAAACCTGAGCCCTTGATAGCAGAATCCCCAGGGAGATTCTCCACCTTCAGTTCAAGGGCTATCCCTATAATACAGCATAAATAAGAGCATCTTTTGCAAACGGCTTGACCTTTCTCATTTCCTTTCCCCTGCTGGGGGGATGGTAAGGGCAGAGAGATGCATTTTTTTTTCTGTTTGTTTGCTGCTAGCAGCCTGGATGTATTACCACAGAAAGACACAGTGTAGTGTTGCTCCTTATAGACTAACCAAAGCAGATACATAGCACAAACTTTCAAACACTGAAGCTCAAGATGTCAGATGCTGATGAAGTGAGCTTCAGCTCATAAAAGCTTATGATATCTATCTATCTATCTATCTAAGATAGATAGATAGAGGGAGAGAGATGTAGGGATATCTCTGTGTGTAGATAGATAGATAGATAGATAGATAGATAGATAGATAGATAGATAGATAGATAGATAGATAGATAGATAGATAGATAGATAGATAGATAGATAGATAGATAGATAGATAGATAGATAGATAGATAGATAGATAGATAGATAGATAGATAGATAGATAGATAGATAGATAGATAGATAGATAGATAGATAGATAGATAGATAGATAGATAGATAGATAGATAGATAGATACTCAGAAAGCAAAGAAGATATATCAAGTACAGTTCTACCCTGTCTTCTGCTTGACTTCAGACTAACACAGCTAAATATGTCTCTTAGCACAGGAAACCTGTGATCTCTCTTACCACACCGCTCCGACCCTGCTGACTGCAGGCAGGCAAGAGAAGTGTTGTGTGTGCTTGGGCTGTGAGGTGCTTTGATCATGAAGGCTTGCACTTGGCCCCTAAATACAGTCCACTGGATGGTCTGCTTGGTGGTGCCTGCCCGGCTCAGGTCCCCCCAGCTCCTTCAGATTCCCCAACCACCAGGAACTGTTTCATTCCAGCCTGGTTTTCATTTGAAAGTGGATTTGTTTAGCCCAAATTAAAAGTCTTTATAACCAGTATCTGCTTCCTACAAGAAGGGGAGGGGGGGGGGTATAAAATATTTGCCAGAAAAGCCTTCAAACTAGTCCCTGGTTCTTGCTTACGTGGCAACCCCAGCCCCACTCCACCAACTTAAGGGCCAGGACAACTTCCCCTTCCTGAGTGGCTTGACTTCTGAGGAGAGGATGAGGGACCTGGGCTTATTTAGTCTGGAAAAGAGAAGGCTTAGAGGGGATTGAATAGCAGTCTTCACTTCCCTGCAGGGTGGGTCCAAAGAGAATGGATCTGAATTGATCTCAGTGGTGGCAGGTGACAGGACAAGGAGCAATGGGCTCCGGTTGCAGCAAGGGAAGTTGAGGTTGGATATTAGGAAGAACATTCTCACGTGCAGGGTAGTAAAGCACAGAAGCAGGTAACCAGAGAGGTTGTGGAGTATCCGTCTTTGGAGATTTTTAAGGCTTGGCTCAACAAAGCCTTGGCTGGGATGATGTAGTTGGGGCTGGTCCTGCTTGGAGCAGGGGGTTGGGCTCGATGTGACCTCCTAAGCTCCCTTCCCACCCTCATTTTCTATGATTTTAAGTGCGACTAATAATCAGGTCCCAGGAGAACGGCTCCTTTCAGTGCTTTGCTGCCAGTCTCAGAAATTGGCAAGCTGGGCAGTGAAAATGTAACAAAGATGTTTGACCCCAGTGAAGATCTGGGTCCCATGAGAGAGTGCATGTGGGCGGCAGGACAAGATCCCTGCCTTCTCCAAACTAGCTGATTTCATCTCCAATCCAGCGAATGCACCAGCTTTAGGAAAGCCTGGGCCAGGGGCCCCCGGCACTGTATGTTCTGTCCCATGCACTTGGGCAGTTCTTGTTGTACGTTGCTAAAGGAAATAAACCCTCACATTGGTCTGCTAAGGGATACTTACCTGTGGCTGGGAAGTGGCATGCTCTTTTGACATCGATGGTGGCCGTGCCCCAGCTGGCTGCATTGCTGGCGTTGCAGTGATAGAAGGTGTCACTGCTGCCCTCAGTGATCTTCAGCTGCAGCTGGGATTGATTCCCTGGGAGCTGCTGGTCCCCTGTGGCTGGGCTCCAGGATGCACCTCGGGACCAGCTGTAAGCGACTGTGTCAGCATCCTGCACCTGGCACGACAGGGTCACGTTGCACTGTCTGAGCTCTGCGTGAGCAGAGAGTACTGTGAGGTTGGGCTGCTGGACTCGGTCTGGAAAGAGAAGTCCTGGTGAGAGGGGCTGAGGGCAGTGGGTGCCCCTGAGAGGGCGAGACTGGGGGGAAGCAGGGCCCAGATACTCACCAAACACAGACACACGGAAGCAGGTGTTATCGGTAATGCCGGATGGAGATGTCACATGTATGGAATAGACACCGCTGTCCGACTTGTTAACCAGCTCAATCTGCAGCGAGAGGTTCCCAGGGTGGAAGGTGACTCTCCTACCTAGTGGGGAGTCTGTGTTGAGCTCCACATGACCGTCCCTCTTAGCAAGTGTCACAATCCGATACTGCACTCCAGAGCTGGGTCTCATACTCCAGGTGATTTCTTCCCAAACTAGCGATTGATTTTCTGGCACTAACCACACGTTTTCCTTTGTAACCACAGCCACTTCCATTTCTTTACAACCTAGTGCTTCGGAAAAGACAGGGAGCAAGGGGGAGCAAGGTGTTAATGCACCCCTGTGCACAGCTGGGTACCGGGGGTGTAGCAGGGATGTTCCTGCAGGGATGTGCGGTGGGCTGAAATGCAGCTGTGGGAAGATGCTGCATTGACCACCTGGGACCCTCTACAAAGCACCAGCAGGTACAACCCCAGCCTGGCCCCAAGCCAGGAGATGGGGGTAGCACCCCTGCAGCCACCCAACCTGACAGTGCCCCAGCACAAGGGCTTCCCACCGCCCTCCCTCCCTGCTCTGGACAGTCCTGTGTCTGCCTGTTTGGAGGCAGTTGTCACCTCTCCCGACACTATCCCCCACAGATAGTTCATCTTTCCCTCTATTTCCTAGCCTGCCAGCCGTTTCAACTGATCTCAGTCCTACTGGAAAGTGTCTGGAGATGTCCTTTCTGAAGCCCATTACCCCAAACCTGGTGAGCTGAGGCCCTCCCAGGCTCTTTGGGGTAGGGGTTTTTGTGATGGACTCTATGAGCCCATCACCCCCGCGGTGCCAGGAGTTGGGCTCACTTAGGATTTGGCTTCTCTGAGCCCATCAGTGAGGGCAACAAGTGAGTTCACACTCATCAGTGTGATGGTGTTTTAAAGTGCTTAGGGTCAAAAGGGACCTAAACAGATCATCAAGTCCGACCCCCTGCCCTGGGCAGGAACGAGTGCTGGGGTCATAACACCCCAGCCAAATATCTGTCCAGCCTCTTCTTGAAGACCCCCAAGTCTAGGAGAAAGCGCCACCACCCTTGGGAGCCCATTCCAGAACCGGGCAGCCCTAACTGTAAAGTAATGTCTCCTGATGTCCAGACTGAACCTGCTGTCTAACAATTTGTGGCCATTATTCCTAGTAACCCCAGGTGGTGCCCAGGGAACAGAGCCTCCCCCAATTCCCACTGGTCCCCCCTGGTGAGTTTGTAAATGGCCACCAGATCCCCTCTCAGCCTTCACTTGTGGAGCCTTCAGCGTCTCTTTGTAGGGCCTGCCCCACTGCCCCTTGACCATGTGAATGGCCCTTCTCTGAACCCTCTCAATGCTGTCCACATCCCTCTTGACATGCGGCATCCAGAATTGGAGGAGGTCCTCCAACTGTGGCCTGACCAGTGCCACATAGAGGGGAAGGATCACCTCCCTGGACCTGCTTGTGATGCATCTGTAGATGCACGACAAGGTGCAGCTAGCCTTACTAACCACATCCTCACATTGGTGGCTCATGTTCATCCTCATGTTCATCAACAATGACTCCAAGATCCCTTTCTGTCACCATGCTGACAAGAAGGGTGTTCCCAGACTATAGGTGTGTTGCTGGTTCCTATTCCCTAGATGCAGCACCTTGCGCTTGTCTGCATCGAATTCCATCCTATTCTCATCCGCCCATCTCTGCAACCTTTCTAGATCTAGCTAGATGCTCTCCCTCCCCTTCAGCGTGCCCACCTTGCCCCACATCTTGGTGTTGTCAGTGAATCTGGACAGCATGCTTTCCACACCCACATCCAGATTGCTGATAAAGATGTTGAACAGTACAGGCCCCAGGATGAGCCCTGAAGGACCCCACTGCCCACATCTCTCAAGGTCGAAAATGACCCATCCACCACCACTCTCTGGGTGTGACCATCCAGCCAATTTGTCACCCCTGACTGTGTAGACATTAATGCTGCAGTCACCAAGTTTTTTTAAGAGAACGTAGTGGGAAACCTTGTCAAAGGCCTTCTTGAAGTCCAGGAAGACAACATCCACCCGCACTCCTTCATCCAAGGACTTTGTAAAAGGAAACCAGGTTAGTCGGGCAGGACCTGCTCTCAATGAACCTGTGTTGGTTGCCCCTGAGCATTACCTCCCCTGCTGGGCCCGTGCAGATGTGCTCCTTGATCATTTTCTCAAAGGTCTTCCCAAGGACCAAGATGAGACTAACTGGCCTATAGTTACCCCGTTCCTCCTTTCTCCCCTTCTTGTAAATGGGGACCACATTGGCCCTTTTCCAGTCCTCTGGTACCTGGCCAGAGCCCCACGAGCGCTCATAAAATTGTGCCAGGGGCCCCGCTATGACCTCCACCAATTCCCTCAGCACTCTGGGGTGAAGAGCATCTGGACCAGCTGATTTAAACATCTCCAGCCCCTCCAAAAGTTCCCTAACTAGGTCACCCCTGACCCTAGGCATGGCGGTGCCTCCCCTGGGTCCATCCGTAATCCCAGTGGGGGAGATGTCCCGATCCCTGCTCAGAAATATGGAGGCAAAGAATTCACTGAAGAGATCAGCTTTTTCGTTTGCTGCAATCACCAGGTTGCCAAGCCTGTCCTGTAGGGGCCACACATTACCCGGTGCCTTCCTCTTTCTTCTTATGTATTTGAAAAAGGACTTTTTGTTATTCCTAATTCTGGTCGCTAGCCCCAGCTCCATCTCTGCCTTGGCCTTCCTAACAGCCTCCCTGCAGTCATGAGCAACGGAGGTGTAATCCTCCTTGGTGATAGCCCCTTGCTTCCACTGTTTGTACGCCTCCTTTTTTGCCCTTGGGCCCTCCTGGATGCCTTTGCAGAGCCAGGGGAGATTTTTAGCACTCCTGCCCCCCTTGGTGTGCATTGGGACTGACTCCCTTTGAGCTCGGAGGATCGACTCCTTGAGGAACAACCGTCCGTCTTGGACTCGCATCTCACTGAAGCTCCGCGATGGGTAGCATAGCGCCATGTCAGCTGCTCCTTGCCTCTGCTTCAGAAGCAGCCTCATTCACACCCACCCCCCTCCATGTTCGCACCCAGGTGGTCTCTCACAGCTCTTGCAAAGGTGTGAAGATAAGGAGACCTTTGATCTGGACAGCTGAGCTTCCCTCCTGTGTGGGTGGCCAGGTGCCTGCCAGTGGCTTGCAGCTGGCTGTGCTAATGCACAGCGGACGAGGGGTAGGCCATGCAGGGTCTGCAAAGCTGGCTTCCTCCTCCCTTGCTGTCTGGGGCTGAGGCTGGGTTAAATAGAGATGCTGGGATAGGAGCTTCCTCACTAGGGCTCTATCTGGTCTGGCGGCACAGAGCATGTTTGGAAGCTGGGTGCGAGGACACTCTCAGGTGTGTGCTCTTGTGCATGCAGCTCCTCACAGCTGCGTCAAAGGCCCTGTGTTCACCCCCTTGCTGTGGGTCAGTGAGACAGACCCTTGGTTTTCCGTCCTCGGTTGCATAGGACTCAGCTCTGGTGCTAGCATGCTGGGCTGTGGCTCAGGGACCTGCACGCTTTGGCCCTGCTGCTGGCTCTGAGCAGCTCTGCACGCTCTGGTCTGGGCTTCCTCTACTGACCGAAGAAGCTTTGCATGCTCTGGTCAGAGATTTAGCCTGTTTCTTTAAAAGCCACCTGGAAACAAAGTATGGCCAGGGGAAGTTGGCTTGAATGCCTCCGGTCTCCTAGAAACACCCATGATAAGCAGGCAGTAGGGTTGCAGAGAGCCCAGAAGAAACAATACTCCATGACGTGGCCAAAGTGATAGACTAGGACAGGGTTAGACTAACTGCTTGCAGTGGTATGGGACTGGGCTCTGTGACTCACTACAGCGTCAGAAGGTCCCACAAGCAATGCTTTCCCTAAGACCCATGCGATGGGGACCCCTGCCAGGATGCATCTTAATCTAGAGCCTCTAAGAACTGAGCTGCCTTAGCCTAAAAGACTGGAGCTCCCATGATGGACCCTGGAGTAGATACACAGCAGGATGCCAGGGAGAGGGCCTGGAGCTTAGGGGCTCCAGGGTGAGCCCAGGGGTACATCCCAGTTGCCCAAAGCTACTTGGCCCCTCAAAGATTTCAACCCACCTCTTTATCACCAACATCAAAATCGCTGAAGACCATTTTGAGAAATCCCTAAGTGAGGCCCTTGTTGGCCTAGCCTCATGCTACATTGAAAACCAACCCTGCAAAAATGCAAGTATGCAAGAAAAACACGAGGCCAACCTCCATCTCAACACGATGTGGCCCAGGACCCCTTATCCCACTGTCCAAACCCAGTTTACCTGGAGCCACCCTTGGTCAAACCCTCTCATGCAAAGAACACATCATGAAGACAAAAGCAAAGGCGAGCACTTGGAGCAACATTATAAGCTCACCAACTCAAAATGGGGAGCTAGCCCCTCAACCCTCCCAACCACTGCTCGGGCTCTCAACTTCTCTGCCGAGTATGCATGCCCTGTATGGAAGGGATCCACATATGCTAAACGCCTGGGCCCCTTTCTGAGCGATAGCTGCTGATGCATCGCAGGATGCCTGAAGCCTGCCAGCCTAAACAGTGCGTATCCGCTGGCTGGCATCGCTCTGCATGACATCAAAAGAGCAGTGGCCAGGAGGACAGAAGGATTGAGACAAATGGAAGATGCAAGATACCCGCTGTACCACCATCCTGCAGTGTACAAAGGTCTGAAGTCACACGGGAGCTTCCTCACCAGCACCCAACCTCTCAATGCCACACCCAAGGAGATGCGACTATGGATGTGGAACAAGAGGTCGAAGAAAATATCTGACAATGGAAAAATGGATAATCCAGTGGCCAAGTCTTTACCACCGGAGCTGATGAACCAAGTCAAAGGTGGTGGTGTCTTAACTGCCTGTGTACCAGAGTCAGACGTTCCAAGGAACTAAAGAAGAAGTGGATTATGCCACTGTGGTATACAGCCTCAGAGCTGCTGGCATGCCCACTGCTCAGGGGCACACGTACGAGGAAAGACCTTGCAAAGTACAATAAATGAGTACAGGCATGCGTAACAAAATAGTCAAACATGGTGTACAGACACAAAAAGATGATGATCCCCAACACCGCTCTCAGTGCATCTGTGACAACCCTGCGACTACAGCTGACACCTCTTTATTCATCCATGAAGCTGTGAAAACCCTGGTGCCAACAGCTCACAGGCTCCAGCACTGGGTGTCACAGGTTGTGACTTCTGTTTGCAGTTCATGCAGGCTGGCAGCGGAGCTCTGCTCTTGGAGATGTGGGCAGCGGCAGGTTTCAGCATGGCCTTGGCCCAGCCTTGTTCCATCCAAAATTAAGGAGCCTAAATAGTTTGCAGAAGTCCCTGAGCTCTGCTGATATCCAGAAGCAGAGAGTGAGACTCGGGAAGGGTTCAATTCTCTGTCTGACATCTCTGCTAGCTGTACAGTGGGCCCAATGAGGGAGATCCCCAGAAAAAACAGAGAGAACCCCCCAAAAAACCAAAATCTCATAGATTTGCTGGACTATTAGGCTATAACACCACACTGCCCTGCTATATTCCCTGTGCAAGCCTGTGCAGTGGTGGGGACTCATCAATCCCTACAATTTGCCCTTTGCAAAGGGACCTCTCAGCAATTATTTCAAATGCTTAATGACTCATTTGGAGTAAAAAACGAAGCTGCCAGGTGACCTGCACCATAGTACTGACCCACCCTGATGCTCCAAGAGCAGAGCCTCTGCTTGCTTTCTCAGCCCTGCTTCGCTTTGTGATGGCACGATGAGGGCCAGTTGCAGGTTTAGAGCCATGAATGCATGTCGCTTTGGGACTAGACTGAGACCCAACCACCTCATGACACCATCACCCATCAGGGGTGGATGTGAACAGGCAATGTTTGTTTGGAGAGCATCTCATCCCCCATGACCTGAGGATGCCTCATCACCCCAGCAGTGGCTATAACTTGCCTTCCAATAATGTCTCCCCCTCTTACCTTCACTGCTGAACACAGAGGCTGTCAAGAGGAGCAGAAGGCACAGGGGAAACATGATCTGGGTCCAGAGCTGCAGTTAATGGTGGGAAGGTCTCTTGGTTTTCAAGATCTTGTCGGTGTCCAGAGAACAGCGAATTGATCTGATGCAGCAGTCGCTTCTGAGCCAGCCCACCACTTCCTCTGCTTGCCGTGGTTTCTCTGCAAGGCGCCCTGTCGTTTCTCACTGCAACCCCAACCTTTCTGCCCCGTGGGGGAAACCTTGGGTGTCGAACCTTCCCCCACTCCCCTGCCTGTCTGCGATGAAGACAAGCTGGTTTGAGTGTGATCTAGGTAGCAGGGAGCAGGGGAGACCTGCAAAGAACTGGGAAGTGAGCACATCACCTTCCCCTTGCGCGCTCGGACATGAGGCTTTTCGACTGCAGATCTCAAAGCAAGTGTATTTTATTTCAAAGCACCTCTGTCGCACTTCTGGCCACCTTGAGAGGCTTTTTTTTAAAGCACAGTGGGAAAGTTAACCCTTGACTTGTCCCGCCAGGCAAATGAAACAACCTAGCGCACAGCCACAGCATAAGAGGAATCAATCCCCACACATATTACAGAAGCCTCCCACCCCATCTTTGAGGTGTTCCACACTTCCTTGTGGGATGTGACACATGGCAGATGCTGAGAGCTGCCAGCTAGAACCAGAAGAAGGAAGTACCTTCCAAATCTGTAGGGTCTGCAGCAATGAGCTCATCCCATTACACAGACAGGGAAACCAAGGGCTAGAGTCCCACAGTACGGCAGTGGCAGAGCTCCAGGCCCCTGTTTTGCCCTCCAGGCCGTGATGTGCCAAAGATGCACACACATGCTGCACCAGCTGCTGGGAACAGGGGAGATAACATGATGATGGGGAGGGGAGATACCGTGATAATAGTTTTTGGCCCAGGTGGTTTCACAGATCTGGCAGGGGAGATATCCTCCTGCTCAGCCCTGAATGACTTGGTGTAGGGATAGGATTCAGTGACCTAGACAAATCAGGGGACTGGGCCAAAAGGAATCTCATGAGGTTCAACAAGGACAAGTGCAAAGTCCTGCATTTAGGAGGGAACAATCCCACACACCAGTACAGGCTGGGGACCGACTGGCTGGGCAGCAGCTCTGCAGAAAAGGACCTGGGGTGACAGTGGGCAAGAAGATGGATATGAGTCACCAGTGTGCCCTTGTTGCCAAGAAGGCTAAAGGCATCCTGGGCTGCATTGGTAGGAGTGTCGCCAGCAGGTCATGGAAGTGATTCTTCCCTCTGTTCGGCACTGGGGACGCCACATCTGGAGTCCTCTGTCCAGTTTTGGGCCCCCCACTACAGGAGAGATGTGGACAAGATGGAAAGAGTCCAGTGGAGGGCAATAAAAATGGTTCAGGGGTTGGGGGACATGACTTGTGAGGAGAGGCTGAGGGCACTAGGCTTATTTAGTCTGCAAAAGAGAAGATGAGGGGGGAATTTAATAGCAGCCTTTAACTCCCTGCAGGGTGGTTGCAAAGAGGATGGACCTGCACTGATCTCAGTGGTGGCAGATGGCAGAACAAGGAGCAATGGGCTCCAGCTGCAGCAACACAGGTTCGTTTAGGTTAGATATTAGGAAAAAATTTCTCACTAGGAGGGTGGTGAAGCACTGGAATAGGTTACCCAGATAGGTTGTGAAGTCTCCATCCTTGGAGGTGTTTAAGACCCAGCTAGACAAAGCTTTGGTTGGGATGATGCAGCTGGGGCTGATCTTGCTTTGAGCAGGGGGTGGGACTAGATGTGACCTCCTGAGGCCTGTTCACACCCTCATTTTCTATGATCCTATGATTGTAAGCTGTAGTTGAGGGTAGAGGCCTGTCCCTTGCACCGTGGGTGGGCAGCCCTGCAAGAGTCTACAAATGCCTTCAAGGCAAGTATTTTGGCTACACAGTTTATAGTGATGAGGGATTGCTGTGAGGCTCTCCTCTAGCTTCCTCCTTCTGGCTCAGTGCAAGCTAGATGAGGCGGCATCTGAACCCCAAGGCCTCCAGGCTTGGAGCTTGCTTGCAGGAGCCTGCCATGGATTATGGAAGTATCCGAAGCCCCAGGGTGAAGAGCCTGGGAGGGATGAGACAGGCTGGTGGTAGCACCACATAAACTGGCACCAATTTGGAACTTAATTCAGAACAGATTTGGCCTGGAAACAGAATTAGTTTAAAAAAAATATTAGAAGTGAGCATGCCTCCTTGCATGGTTTCAGTGTCACGGTATTGCAGCCGTGCAGTCATGGGAAGCAGTCTCAGCCCAACTGCTCAGCACTTAGCAGACAAGTGTCATGGGGCAGCACATCTGTTGGGGGTAACAAGGGGCATTTCAGGTCAGTGAGCCAGGGGATGGGGAATCCTCCTGGCAGTTTCACTAGGATGCCAACCCGCAGCTTCCCTGTGCACACAGGAACCAGTTTGGATTACAGCCCTGGGATCCTGGAAACGCTGAGACAGTTCAGCTGGCTGAGCAAGATTGACTTCTTCGAGCCAGCGGGGCATGTGGGCCTGGGTGGGGGGATTTTGGACATCCCATGGCTGGTACATACCTCATCCTCACTGTATTGGCAGGCACACGCAGTGGCACTTTGATGTAAGATCAGCCCCAGGGTCCGTGTTTATCTCATGCATCAGGTGCAATCAGTGCCTTTGTGACAGTGGCCGACCTGGCCCCGGGGCTGTCACACAGGTAACAACAACAGAAATAGCCTGTCCTGCACTAGCTCAGCGCAGAAAGCTCTTGGCTATGCCGGGGCTGAGGCTGGCTCCTGTCCCAGCATGGAGCAAAGCAAAAGAGTGGGAAAGGGTGGGCAGCCCTATGGATCCTGACTTAGCTGCCTGGGGATAGCAGTATTAACCACCCTGTCCTCCTTTAACCTCTTCCATCCCCCAATCTGCCCTCTTCCTTATTCCTGTGCAGCAAATTTCCAGTAAAGATATTTGCTGCATGCAGTTTCGCCCTGTCATTGCACTTCTCTGCCCATTCCCCATTGTGCAACCACGAAGGGACCAGGAGAAAGTGCTAGCAGGCTGCATTGGGAGGGGGTTTCTATGCTGCACGTGGCACCTCTGAGTCAGGGTTTTCCCAAGCCCCAGCAGGATCGGGGCCTGAGGGTGCTGGAAGGGAGACCCAGCATCTGGTCACACTGCCCTGGGCCTCTTCTCACACTTCCTCTGCTGCTGGGTGACGGAGCCACAACCCAGCCCCGCTCAAACCACCACTCCCCTGCTTTATGCAGGGTTGCCTGCACTTGTGGGGTGCTCAGGACCTGCAGGATTGAACCCTCAAGAGGGAACTAAGCCTAGTTCCTCCTTATTCATCATTTCTTGATCTGACTTCTTCAGCCTGGCCGCTTAACCTTGCTCTCCACCGCCTGGTCTGCACTCACCTGCTCTGCGCAGCTCAGCCAGGATGAAGGGGGCTCTCGGACCCCTCCTGCTCTCCCTCCTTCTGCTCCTCCAAGCTGGAGGTGAGTGACAAGGGGCTGCTCTTCCCTGGGTGCAGCCTGGGGCGGGCTCAGGCATGGGAGAGGGGGGGCTTTGAAGCAGAGACTGTCTTTGGGAGCCGTGTTTGTGCCGTGCTTTGCAGAGGGGAGCCCTGGGCTAGGATGAAGATTATCAAAAAGCAGCAGGAGCTTACAGAGAGATGCATCTTTTCTACTTGTTCTCTAGAAAATGCAAGACACGGCTTGCCTCTAAGTGCCCTTTGCACCCGAGAGAAGTGTGTGGCAGCCGGTATTTCTCTCAGGAGCTGAAGAGTCTGCTAACCCTTCTCTCCCCCTTGCCCTTCTGAACCCCCAGGTTGTCAAGAAGTAAAAGTGGTGGCTGCTGTTGGGGACACGGTTCAGCTGCAGCCCAACACATGGCTGTTGTCCTGGGTGACAGTCAACTGGATATTGAAACGCAGTTCACAGACCTACTGGATCCTCAAATACGAACAGAACAGGACCTCGGCCAGTCCCTTTCTGCCCTTTGCTGACAGAGTCTCTTTCCACCCTGGGAATCTCTCACTGCAGATTAACTCGGTCACGGAGAAAGAAAGTGGCCTCTACATCATGGACCTGAAGCTGACAAACGGCTCTAAAGTCACCAGTAATTTTCGTCTGTTTGTGCTTGGTGAGTTTGGGGGTGCCCCTTTCCCCCCGTGTTCACCCCTGGGGCACCCGGACCCTCTCACTGGGACTTCTCCTTCCAGACCGTGTCCAGCAGCCCAAGATCAAGGCATCTACTTCCCAAGAGCGTGGATGGTGCTACGTTACCCTGTCCTGCTTGGTGCCCAAAGCTGACTGGGTCACCTACAGCTGGTCTCGAGGCGTATCTTCCAGCCCAGCCCCAGAGGACCATTGGCTCCAAGAGCATCAAGCCGATCTGCAGCTGGAGATCACTAAAAGCGGCAACAACACCTTCTATCACTGCAATGTCAGCAATGCCATCAGCTGGGGCATGGCCACCATCGATGTCAAACCGCTGTGCAACTACACAGGTAAGTGCCCCCTTTGCACCAGACATACGAGTGGGGACAGGGATGTTTAGCATCTTCCTGGGTCCTGTGGAGCTGGTTTGTGAGCCTGACCTGAATGAAACCAGAGGAAGGGGCCTAGCATCCCTGAGGACGCTCTAGCTGCCCCAGCCTCCATCCTGGTCTGGTTCATCTGAGAGCCTGGCAGACTAGTGGGGCTGGATCTCTGGCCTTGGGGAACCTAGTGGGAAGCCGCAGAGCTGGGAGCACCATTTCCCCAGCACTGGGGCAGTCCCCCTGGGTGGGCTGCCCCAGAACCAGGGATGCTGACTGGTCTGCCTGGAAGTAGGGAGACTCATTGCAGGTCTACACCCTCTCCCAGCCGCCCAAGGGCAACGCTCAAGCACGTCCTGCCTCCCCCTCCCCCTGCACACACCAAGCCCAGATAGATGCAGCAAAGCCGTGCGCCAGAGCAGTGG